TTAATGGTTTGTTACGAGTGTCTCTTGAGGGAACATTTTAGGAATGGTCATTTTTAGCAGTGAAATCTGCGCAAAGAAGGATTATAACAAATCTCTGTGAATGATAGACTCGATTGCTAAACCTTGCCTTGACCAACCTTCTGACCCTCAGAGAGATCTCTCAGGGTGTGCGTGGGAAGGAAAAATAAAAAACCCTCCCATTTGAAAATAAACTTGGAAAAAAAAAAAGACTAAATTTTTTGGACAGCCTAACTGCTTTATAATCACTTTTTTTTTTGGTCTTGTTTTGTGATAAGTTGTGTTAAAAAGGATTGTCCTACATGGTTGTTTTGTAACTGGTGTGGAGGAAAGAAGGAAGGATCACTCTCAAGCATTTCTGATGTGACAGCTTTGGTTTCTGAAGAGTTAACCGGTGTTTGCATGATATGCACCTATTGCTAGTCTGGTAGCAGACTTTTCATCTTTTTATTTGCTTTTTTATTAACTGGGGCTGGTGGAGAGGGTTACCTTGGTCAGAAGAGTATTTGCACATATATATATTGTATATATTTTTGGTGGGGTTCTCCCCACATTTTACTCTCTCTTGATGACTCCTGGAGGTGGTAGTGGGCCCATGAAAGACTGTGAATACAGTCAGATCAGCACGCACAGCTCTTCGTCTCCCATGGAGTCTCCCCATAAGAAAAAGAAATCATCTCCCAAGAGAAAATGGGAGGTTTTTCCTGGAAGAAACAAATTCTTCTGCAATGGGAGGATCATGATGGCTCGACAGACTGGAGTCTTTTACCTGACTCTTGTTCTCATCTTGGTCACCAGTGGACTCTTCTTTGCATTTGAGTAAGTGGCATTAAAGTCTTCGTATCTTCCTTCTCTTCTAGTTATTTACTTTCTGACTGAAAGCAAAGTAAACATGTTTATCCAGATGTCGTACAGAATGCTGACTGAATTCGGCTAATGTTGGTTTATATAATTGAAAGTACGATCTGATAAGATGCTGAGGGATGCACGACCCCATTTTCATTATTGTACTCTGTGGAAAACTGATGTTTGAGGATGAAGGTTGTAGAGCTTTGATACCACAAGTTTCCAGATCTTGTTGATGTTGCAAGAGGAGTGTAAAACAGCAGGTTTGGGATGGTCAGGAAATGATGTAGCTCCTTGTCTGTCAGTGACTCTGCTGAGAATCAACACTGGCAGGTGCAAAAATACTGACCCTTTGTTGCAGAACTGAATGCAAGAAAAGCAGTATCTTTCATTAGTTTATGGCCTGTTTTTCTCTCTTGAAGTCATTTAATAGCTTGTAGATGAGAATTCCAAGTTAGTATGAAAAAAAAACCAAACCCGAACTGTACAATTTTGCACGTACCTGGCTTTCCACCAATAGGTAACAGCATTGCTTTCTGTTTGTGATGATAACTTGTATGGGAGTTTGGTCTTAGTTTAAGCTATGTTTGTTTTGGAGGTTTGGATTTTTTTTAAGCAGGCTTCTGGTGTCCTAGGGCTTTTTTTCTCTGTTGCTCTGAATCTTCAGGGGTCCTATTCATCTATATAAAGTGAACGCACAGTGACAGCAGACCAGATATACTGCACTTATGTTGGAGTGGTAAAATTAACTATGCGTGACAATAAAGAATTAGGCACTTGATACGAACAATACTGTTCAACCGTTTTTTTTACAGCAGTGAGTATAGAGGTGCCCACACTGCTAAAACACTTGCTGTAGTAATAACTGAATTGTTTTTAAAGAGTTAATACTACTTTACCTGTTTTAAACTAATGTAGCTTGATTTGTGGTTCGTGACAGGAAAAAAAAAATCTTCAAATTTCATATACAGCTCTTACTGTTTTCTTGAATAGGAACTATTATTTATAAGTAAACCTCAGTGCTGCCTCCAGAAATTCTGTTTGCTTTAGCTAAGTGATGATACAGTTGAACGACAAAGGTCCTTGTCCTCTTCAGGGAAGAAGGTAGTGACATTAACAAACGCTACATTGTACCAGTTAAAGGTAGACCACCTTAACCTGCTGGTAGTAGTCAAGAAGGTGAAAATGCCTGGTAGGTAACCAGTGGCTAAATATATATGTGAGCTCAGCAGATGAATTGTCTTTAGTGGGCTCCAGATTACTTCAGAGGGATTTATTAATTGTAAATCTTCTGCAGACGTTATGAACATCCTTCGAGTAGTTGAAATAACACAGTCAATGATGGTATCTGTGTACTGCAAGTGTGTTTACTTTCCTGGTTTTCAAAAGGTATGAAAGGTGTAACCTGGTAGTATTGCATCAGGACTGGGTGCTACTCTATTCTGTTTGCCATGGTTAGGCCTAGTTTTGGAAAGCTTTTCTGTGTGAGCTGACACTTGCATCTGCGTGGGGTCTCATCACCTTCAGCAGAGCCTCTGAAGGCAAGCGCTGGACTTCCTGCAAATGCCAGAATGCAAACATAGGATCAAAACTGTAATATTTTATAACTGTGATTGTGAAATTCATCTATTAAGCCACTATTTACAGTTTATTTATACGTTTTAAGACTTTGATCCTTCAGAGATCACTATTCTCTGCAGCTGCATGATTCAGAACTGCTAAAGCAGGGTGAGCGGCTAGCTGTTCAGTGCCTTCTGGTTTCATTACTACTGTGAGTTATGTCCTCTACCAGCCTCCGACACTACAACTTCTGTCGTGTCTTTGAGTTTATTTGCAGTGTAACCGTATGTGATGGAGAACATTTTTAGTCAAGCTACAGCATTTTGATGTATAATTGGTGTGTATTCTACCTGGCAGTCTTGAAGCAGGGAGAAATCTTGGGCTTTATATAACTGTATAAATTCTGTGTGTATGTTCTGGTCTTGAGTCATTCTTGTATCACTTGCACTCTCCTTTTAAGGAAAATCGAAGTAGAGGGTGGCAATGATATTTCATTTTTATAATAACAGGTAGATTTTGGTCTTTAAAAAGCACTTGCACTGGAAAATTATTACTCATCCTCCAAAGGCTAATTAAAAAACAAACGTTAAGACTATGAGAATGATGTTCAGCGTGTTGGTGGTGTTTGAACAGCAGAAGGTTGTTAATCTTACAAAGAAAAGAGGAGAGTCTGGTTAAAAAGTGTTACTTTGAAGCAGTTTCTAATTGCGTGTCTTCATAGTAGTCTGAAGTTACTATTTATTGATCAGTTGATAACATCTTGAGTTGTTAGAGTGTCACTTCCATTATTTGACTGATTTAGTTATGACGCTCCTCATTAACCAGCTGTTTACAGAATATGACAGAAATGTATTTCAGTCCTTTGTGTACACGTGGGGCAAAGTGATTTTTAAATGGGCACGTGCCTTGTGTCTCTGAACTGTAAGGTCAAACTGTCATTGAAGAGGAAGATACCCTGTATGTTCTTGGAATTGTTCAGTCTTTTTCGTTCAATTGAAATAGATGATTTTGTTCCCTTTGGTTTTGGAAACTGGAAAATAGGTACTCATGTTCCAAGTAGTTTCCTGGTTGCAGGCAGTGAAGAGGGCGAGTAGGAAAGAAATGACTTTGATAGCTGATTCCTGGGAAAGCGTCATGCTAACGTAAACACTTGGCCTTTATCCTTTTGGCTTTGTTTGTTCCTCCAACGTGATCCCCCTCCCCTTTCTTTAATTTTACTCTTGACACCTATTCATCCAGAGCTCTGTCTCACGTGCTTTGGAATCCTTTCCAGGGGAGAAATACATTTCTCTGAATCAACAAATCCTAGCTCTCCAAAAGCAAACCTATGTCATACATCTTGACCTGTATAGCTTTTGACATTGAATCCTTTGTAATCTTCGTTTCTTCATATTTATGCTTCTGTGCTTTTTCCTGCCTGCTTTTCTAGCTCCTACTTTTGGCTGGTTTTATTCCTTTCTGTTGACTTTTATCTCTCATATACTCTTAAGTACATCACCACTTCTTCCTTTTATCATTTCATTGTTCTTTTTCATTTTCAAAGAGATAAGCCAGAATTTGCTTAAAAGAAAAACAACAACAAACCTTGAGCTTTCAAGCAGGTGAAGTATTTCTAATTCCTGCTTCCCTCCCCTTCCAAAGGAATAGAATGCAAGTATCAAGCAGTTTTATTTCTGTAACTTGTCTATTAAATGTAACATGAATTATTGCAAGCCCTTTTGGGTCCTAAGAGGGATGCTGTGCTTGAGATATTCCTAAAAAATGATACCTATTTTAAAATGCTTAAGATGAGGCAGCACAAATAGTTAATTTGTCTTTAAAATTTGAGTATGTTATTTTATCTTGGAAATATATTTCCTAACTCTAACCTTGTGATATTTAGGTGTTTTTCTTAGTTCTTACAAATTTGGTTTTGTGTTGGATTTCCTTTTTTTCCTTTGCCTTGCCCCTTTACACATACTTTTTTTAAAAAAAAAAACCAACTATCCAATGTTCATGTAGAAGTAGCTGCATGAAAAGCTGGGAAAATAAATTCCTTTCCCCAGAGCAAAGATAGCATCCGTAACTGAAGGGCAGATCTCCCTGCTGTACCTAGCCAGTTCAACCACTGTATTTACATATATGTAAAGTCCTTTATTGGTGCAATAGAGAGAGACAAAACTAAGGCACTTCATACTTACTGCTTTTATTCAGCTAGGTGTACGTACTCAAAAGAGAAAAGAGCCCTTTAGGCCTATGGTCATTTGGGGTACTGTTTTTGTAGGTTACAGGAAAGCAAAATGGAGGCTGAATGACATATTTAATGCAGTAGGATACATAAAACAGACATCTTGTTGTTAAATGGCAAATCTTGTATGGATGCACAAGCTTCATGAGTTCCAGAGCGGTGGCAGAGATGCTTGGCTGCTTTGGTGCTGTGAGTTACGGCTGCCCCTGCGTGCCAGCTCCCTGCCTCCTCGGCCCTCGCTGCGCAGGTCGCGGGAGGGAACACGTCTGCCCCTGAGCTGCTTCGGTTCAGGCAGGCAAATTAAACTTCCCATAAAAAGTAAGTTTAAGTGAAGATGCTGACTGAACCCAATTGACTCGAGCACGGTCATGTTTTCTTCTGTCAACTCAATTGCAGGGTGAGTGGCTCTGGAAGAAGGTTGGAGCAGATGGTAGGATGCTGGAAGGGCTGAAGCAGTGCGGCTTTTTTCTCTGTAAATGTGAGGCAGAGCCCTATCGCTTCTGATACCATTTGGCACTTGCATTGATTCAACAAACTGGAGATTTATTTTTTTTTGAGCTAGTTAACACTTGATTTTTGTGAGTATTTATGCAATTGTACTGTTTTTAAAAAGATGAATGCTGGAAAATTATTTAAACTGAGACTGTTTACATGCATATGTGCGTACAAATCATTGCTTTCTATCTGCTCTTGCAGTTGCTGGCAACCAGCTCCATGCCTCCCACTTTGAAAACCAGTGTGACTGGAGGACATTCATGAGTCACGCTTTCTGATGTGGTGTAGATTGTTCAATATTGAACTTTTGTAGCGTGCGTGTGCGCACTATGACAAAGTGGTGTAACTTGTTGCTTGCTGTGACAAACCTCTGTGTGTAAACACTGATGTGGTAAGCCGGGCATTTTCACTGTGGTATCAACAATCATCTTCATCTTATGGCAGATGTTTTCTGCTCTTGCAAGAGGTGGATTCTCAGTGTGAGGTTATATTCCAAGTAGGTGGAATGTTCTTCATCTAATAACCTCCTTTATTTTTCTTCCTCTGCTCTTAAGACGAGTAGGTTACTTATGTTTTTTGATGACCATGTTCTTAAACTGCTAGTTCCTTGGAAGGAAGTGCTGCCTATCTGACTTGCTGCTATAAACTTGTTCCTGCTGAAGACGTCAAAATGGATTTTAAAGCAAAAATC